GAAGAGAGAAAATAGATTCAGAAAGACGGAGTATGGATGGATATATGCAGAGTAGATAAATGGATGGAGAGAGAGAGAGAGAGAAAGTAGTGAACGGGAAAGTAAAAGGGGAAGAAGCAGGCGAGGAAAGGAAGGGGTACATAAAGTAGAGAAGAAAGAGGAAGAAAGACAGTTGAAGGAGTAGAGGGAGAGGGAAAAATCGCTGGATTGTCTCGCGCGTATTGATTGGTCTTTTGTGAAAGCTACACCCTCATGTAGCTACCAGACAAACCATTTTCTAAAGTCACTAGACTTCCAGGGTGTATCAGCGCGTTCTTAAGCTAGTTGTTTCGGTACGCTATGTTTGATTCTTTTTTCTCTCTTTTTTTTTCTTCTTTCGAATCGAGATGGCATTTTCCTAAATTGCACTTTGCTTAATGCGTTTGCATTTCGAGTGACGACCGTCGAAGTCGCTGCATTGCTGAATATTTCGAACGTTTCGCGTAAAGTTTGCTTTTTTCGGAAGGTTAGGAAAGATGACGAAAGATGATGAAAGGAACAGTAGATAGGGTAGAAATGACGTAAGCGATCGCTCGTGATCCCTAACGGCAAAGGGGTTCTATATCGGTATCGATCGTAAAGTGACCCATATCTGGTGGTGACGGGAATTCCTACCCCTAGCTGCTTTTCCAGCGACAGTACCCCTCGCGCCTACCTCCTCCTCTCTCGCTCTTTCTCTCTTTTTCCCGGTCCTCTATCCCCTCTAAGTAACTATACTCCCGCCAGAGCTGTGTCTACCCCCACTCGTTGCCCCTTTCTCCGGTGGACGAGCGAATACACCTCCTCCTCTTCCTCCTCCTCCTCCTCCTCCGATTTCCAGCAACCCTGCCGTGTCTGCCTGCCTTCCACGGTCGAGCAGATCTTGGGGCTTGGGTGTACGGGATGATAGCCGAGTGAAAAAGCTCGTGAGTCCCGTGAAGTTCGCTCATCAGCAGCAGCAACAGCAGCAGCCCTGGCCTGCCACAATCCCTTCGACTCGGTTATCGTAAGTGTCGTGCGTCCCGTGCAAAGAAACGAAACAAACGAGACGAATCGTGAACAAAAACCAGTAACGATAGATTGTGTAAGATTCGATGATAGAAAGAAGGGAGGAAGAGAAGTTTGTTAACTTTGATTGAAAAATAAGGAGAGAAAGAGAGAGAGAGAGAGAACGAGAGAGAGAGAGAGAGAGAGAATGGAATAGGTGCGTATATATATTTCTGATTGAAAGAGACGAGAAGAGAAATTCATTACAAGTGTTCCGAGTGCAATTATGAAAGTGTCAAAGCGGTGGTTTCTCCTTTATGTGTCTCTCCTTGCAAATGTAACTGAGAGAACGATTTTTTGCCTGCAAATTACGTTGCGTCTTTTCACGGTACCGTTGCAACGTTTTATCCAAGAAAATAAATATATATGTACAACGTGACGAGAGATCTGAACGAGAGATAAAGGAACCGGGGAGGAGGGGGGCAGAGGACGGTTGAAAATCACGACCTAGTGAGGGGGAAATAACGTAGGAATAGTAGTGTGTCAGTGAGGAGAAATGGAAACGGCGCGGCCGGTGGTGGCACGATTGTCGTTCGTACGATGGGTATCGCAACGAGAAAGATATCGAAAGGGCAACTGCTAGTTGTGCCGACGTTGCTGCTACTCGTGGGTGATGGCAATAGGCAGTTCATAGTGAGATAGTGGTTGTATTACGTATCATCGTGCAGTAGTGTCCCGTGCGCACCGAGTGTATATGTATACTACGTACCATTGGTAGTGAGATCAATAAGCAGTGCCGTGCCACTCGACCTGTGCTGATAGACGGAAACTCATTCTAAATCTTTCCCTCTGTTCTTCTTTCCTTCGTCTCTAGTCTCTCCCCTTTAGTCGATAGAACGTCGGCGGATAGCTTTCGTTTGTTTTCTCTTTGAATTTTTCATCTGTGTGTCTCGAGAAGCTCGGGACAAGAAGCTGTCTTTCCTTTTGAAGGAACGTTGGTCTACTTTTTTTTTTTTGATGTATCACTATATGTACGCACGTATACCGGTGTTCATCCTCTCTTTTTACTCTACTTCCTTGGTTCTCTCTGATCGTCTTCCAGACTGATCGAGGATAGGTACTGATTTCGTACTTCAACAAAATTTTTCTTCTAGTTTCTTCTATTTTTTCAGTCTTCTATCGTTTCTTATTGAGCTTGCGTATCGTACGAGCATGTTGAAACGTATTTCTTCTTGGACCGTCGTATTTCATTTCACAGTCGTTGGACAAACGTTCGTTTGTTTACAGTGATTTTTGAACTTTTTTTTTTTTACATTTTTCTGTTTAACGATACAGATAACGAATCTATAAAAATAACTGTATCATGTACTGTCACACGAGTGTAGGAGAGATCGCGAAATGAAGTAGCAAATTTTTGAATTCGTACTATCATCCGAAATTCTACTGAACTGAACGATGAAATTAAGCTATATGTTAAGATCAAATAAATTTCTCAATTAGTGAAACTTAGCTATTAGCTAAGTCGAGAATAAACTGTCGAAATTATCGTTTGCTCGAAAGAATCACTTCGCTTAGACACTTCGACTTTTGTTTCTTGTTGCACGATGAAACATGGTGTACGGACAGCTTTGCTCGAATTGATTGAACAGATAACGTAAATCGTATGGGATCTGATTAAAGTTGAACATATTGCGTGTAATGACACGGAAATAAATTACAGTGATCTGTAGTGCTTTCCTTTTCTGTTCAATTATATCGACAACGTGTTTCTAATTCTTCTTCAACCGGAGAAATAATAATACTTTATGTTCGTGAGTGTAAACTGGTCGTGAGATTGATGCGTTTTACATCTCGTTGCTTCATTTCTACAGAGCTGTATTCGAGATTATTCGTCGCAACGTTCGCGGCTCTCCTTTTAATACTTCGTTGTGTCAGCAAAATTTTAAGCCTCCATCCAGCATATTTCTCGACAATGATGTAAGAAAGAAACCTACTAGATTATGTTTAAACGTGCTAGTTCCGAATGCGATGAATTGTCGATTGCCTGGTGCGTGAAATACAAAAGTCAACGAACAAATAAATCTCGAATAATTAATAATAATAAATTTCAAAAAAAAAAGAAAAGGAAGAACGATTTAAAAAGAGACAGACGTTCAAGCGTCGAGAAAATTTCTTTTAATAGTTAAAATAGCGTGTTAAAGTATGTTGCAATCGTATAAAAGCCATTTTTTTTTCCCCCTCGGTTTTCTCGCGTTGAAAGTAAACTCGGTGACAGTGATTTCTATTTCGAAGGTTCATAAAGGCCATTTTTTTTTCCCCCTTCGTTCTCACGTTGGAAGTAAACTCGGTGACAGTGATTTCTATTTCGAAGGTGTTTTCTTCTTTTCTCTCTCTTTTTTTTTTCTTTCGTGACAACTCTTTGAAAAATTTCACGCCTCCGTGTGTGTCACGACACGCACGATAACACTTCCATGCGAGTGTAACAAACCAAACGCGTCGATAAATCCCTGATATATAAATATATCGCTTGCACGCTTGCCTGACGATTATTATCATGCTCGACCTCGTGCACAGGTAAACGAAACAAGGGGCAACTTTTGATCGTGCGTTCCGGGATGGATGTGCGTTTCGATCGGGGACGTTTTCCGAGGAACCTGTTGCCAGTAAATCCCCCTCGTTGATTAAATCTCTCCTCGTTTAGAGGCACAGCGGCTATCGATAATTTGTAATTGAGCTGCCGCGCAGCTGCAGTTTACGGCCAGCCTTCTTTTTTTTTTCTTTTTCTTTTTCCTTTTCCTTCCTCAAATGAATGTACGAATGAGGGAGGGAACGCGCACCTTTCCACGTGTTTGTCACCCTAACGACCCCGTTCAAATTTGTTGCGACGTTACCGTGATTCGTGGCCGGAGTGCGGCATGCTGACTGTGGTCTCCGTTCGATCCTCTATATATTAGCACCGTTATCTATATATTGTTCTGTGATTAGACGAAAGATTCAAAAGGGCAGCTGCACGCTTGACAAGAAAAAAAAAAAAAGGAAATTACAAGGAGAAATTGGAAGAAAAAGAAAGACACGATTATTGTTATTGTTATTGTTGTTGCTGCTATATATATATATATACAGAGGATCGAATGGGCGAAAAGTGTCTTTTTTCACGATTGAGGAGAATTGTAACCGACGATTTACACCCAGGGAGGGGGGTAGACGATGAAAAAAGAATTCCTTTTCGCATCCAGAGAATTGTACGCCTAATCGTGGGATCGCCGTGTGCAGCCTGGCAGGCCCCCGCAAAAGCCGCCAATTAATTAAGATAGCTCCTAGATACACGGTAGATCGATAGGGACTGGCCGTGATAAAGACGGGCGAGCGTTTCAGACTTCAGGGATGTTGCAGTGCTGTGGTGTTGGAGGTGGCGCTTCCACGGCACCTCAGGCTCCGCAGCTGCAGGATACCGGATCTGCTGTCGGGATTACCACCTCCACGAAAACCACCATCATGCAGGACGCAGTTCTTGAATCTATCCTCGAGGTGAGCCTCTTGTCGAGACTTTTTTTTTTTTTTTTCTTTCTCTCAATTTCCAAACTTCTTTTCTCTCTCCCTCCCCCTCCCTCCTTAGTTCTTTCGAGCTGTCCTTGGAACATTCTTGGGTTATTCTTGGATCGTTTCTTTTCTCTTCAATCTTTTTTTTTTTTTTCACTCGATTTATCATGACTAGATATCATTAATTTAACAATGCGGGAAATTCATTTCGAAATTTCAAACCGGACTCCGAGTAACAGATATTACGTATATAAAGATAATGTGCACGTAATAATCATTACGTTAGGCGTCGCGTGTGTTGAATATCGATGCCCTAAGCTAAATTCCGACGGGAGTGTGAAAGATAAAAAAAAAAAAGACCTTTCTTGGAGTTTCTAGCGATCTTTGCAATTTTTTTTTCTTCCCCCCCCCC